AGGTACATATGATCAACACAAAGCCTTCTATTAGCTAAGGATGCCTTAAATCTGTCTCTTTAAAAAAAACATACACCCCAATTCTATAAGGATCTCCTGGACGACACAATCTATAGTTGCTGATAAGGATTCTTCTGTTAGGTTTAGTCAACAACTCACTCTAACTAAGCATATCGGGGAACATGACAACCCTAGACGATAAAACCATGAAATCTTGATTGGTTTCATCATCATCATCATCCCCCCCCCCCCCCCCTTTGGTTGTCATCATCAATACCCCCCCCCCCCCCCCCCCCCTCATCATTCACTTAAGCTTCAAGTGATAGGTTTTACAAATTAAATTGTATGTAATTGTATGTATGATGCTACAATGTGTTAAATATTTAACTCTAAATGACTAGCCTTAATTGAAAGTGCTTTTCTATTATCATAAGGGGTGGTTAACCTTTGGGGCTTGAGCCTATATGAAATTTGAACCCTAAATTAAGAAGTCCTCGCAAAATGAGGGTGAAATTATTGGGTAGTGTCTTACCTACAATCCAATGTGCCTCTAAAAATTTTGACCCTTAATGCTCTCTCCAAAAAAAAAAGCAGAGTCCAGGGTGGTCAAAATTTTCAAATTCCTCAAACCCCTCCCCCCAACACACACGCGCACACAAAAACACACACAAAACAACATACTTAAGCCAAAAGGAGGAATTAAATAGAATGAAATTTTTAAATACTAATATCTTAATTTACAAAGTCATGCACAAAATTATATTACATGTTATTTAAGAATATCATCATATGCACTCTAATGGTGGCATACCAAGTTAAAATAAAACATGATATATCAAGAAAGTCATCATCTAAGTTCAAATGATTATGAATGTCTCAATTTTACCAAAATTAGTCATAAGAAATGATAAGTAAACTTAATGAAAAACATTGAGACAATAATTCAGTAATCTACGGAATAAATTTAACCACATGCACACGCATCACATATGGAAGAAGTTGAACTGGAGATATCTTATTTAAAACCAAAACTCTAAACCAACATGATAAAATAAATTACATAATCTAAGACAGAGTACATATTATGAATTTTCAAAGATAAATAATATTTTTGGAGATTTCGACATAAGCTGAGTTATTTTCTTATGAATGATATAGATATAGAGGGAAACATCATGAAAGCGAGCACAAAAATTATTGTAGTTAAGAATATTAAAGGTTTCACCTAGTAACATCACTAGAGAACAAATGCTCTCTCAAAATAAAAAGATAGAAGACTCCACTACAAACCCACTAGTCGTTAAGATAGATTACTAAATGCTTCATTCTAAAAATACTCCAAAAATTAAAAGTAAAAAAAAAAATCCTTACCACAGCTAATGATGAAATTGTAAACTTTTTAATTGACAAAAAATACATAATTGACTTTTAAATATTAAACATTGATAAAACCATGGGAAGAACTATACATTTTTCATACATTATCGACAAATTTTCATCATATGTCATGAATCTCGAGGTATTTTCGAGGGAAGAATTGTTCAAACTCAAATTAAAAATCGCCCAAAGCTCCAATTTCAGCAAACATATAATAAAACTGACCGATTAGACAAGACATGCTTATTGACGCCAAAATTGATTAAATCCAAGTCAAATTAAACCCATATCAAGTCATTATACAACATTTATAAGCTTTGCGTGGCTGATTAGAATGTCCTATGGATTCCAAATCTAAAAACCTTATAGTCAAATCGAGTATATTGATGAGAGAAATCCAACAAGTCAAAGATCACTCGATTTAAAGTCATTAAGACACTAAAATGTCCATAAAATGCATCCAATCATGAGAATCTCTCTAGGTTGTCCAATAGATAGGTCCAGATTCTTTCCTTAGTTACAAGGTAGGCAACTCCTAGACTCTATAAAGAGAGTCCTACCCCCTCCATGAATGGAGGGGAAGCACAGAGAAAAAGAGCTAGAGTTGGACCGAGAGGAGTTGAATTTCAGTGTTGTTTTAAACTAAAGATTAGAGGAACGCTTCACATTCCTGCAATCATTGACCACCATTGATCACTACTCGTCAGTCACCTCCGATCACCACTTGCCGCTCACCATCAAACATTGTCAACCTCCCCCTACTCGTTGCAATGTAGCCCCTTGAGTCTTGAAATACGCTGTGGACTAAAGATTGTGCAAAGTAATGACCAACAAGGCAAGTAAAGAAGCAGCCTACGAAGCAGCACATTGTCCTAAACATGGGGTAACAATGCACCTCGCATATGGTGTAACAGAATATTCCTAATATGGACTCTTGAATAATGTTATATCAAGGATCCGATAATAAATCCCTACAACAACTGCTTATAACTATCATACTTGAAATACGATGGCTTTCTCCAAACTCTTGCAGCTCTCTCCTTGTAGCTCTTTACTAGGACCTACATGACCAACTATGACTTATGTAGTCCACAGCTCATGCAGTTTTTAGCTCTAACCTCTATGGCCTATGAATGTTATTGTATCTCAATAGTATGGCCTATATGATCAACTACGATCAATATTATCCATAACATATGCAGCTCCCAACTCTAGTCTGTGCGACCTATGGAAGTATTGTAGCTTATCACTACAACCTATGTAAACGACCACATATGTGGTCCACAACTCATTCAGCTCTCAACTCTGGCTCCATGGTGTACAGATGTTATTGTGATTCGCCACTATGACCCATGTGGCCAAATATGACCTATATGGTCTATAACTCATGTAACTCTCAATTCCAGCCTTTATGGAATATGAATGTTATTGTGACCATTACGACCTAAGTGACCAAATATGACATACATGGTTTACAGTTCCCAACTATAGCCTGTATAGCCTACAGACATTATTGTGGCCCATCATAATGGCCTACACCACCAACTACGACTATGTGGTTCACAACTCATGCAACTCTCAATTCTGGCCTCTGTGGCATAAGGATGATATTATATCTCACAACTAAAGCTTACATGACCAACTATGGCCCGCATGGTCCACAAATCACACAACTGCTAACTCCGACCTTTGTGACCTACAAACATTATTGCAGTTCAACATAATGTTTCTGTGTGACCAACTATGACATATATGGCCCACAACTCATTCAACTCCCAACTCTGGCCTCTATTGCCTATTAACGTCATTGTGGCTCACCACAACGACCAACGTGACCAACTACGACTTCGTGGTTAACAACTCCTGATTTCAGCCTCTATAGTGTACAGATGACACTACAACTCACCACTATAGTCTACATTACCAACTATGGCCTACATGATCCATAGCTCATGTAATTCCCAACTTTGACTTCTATGGCCTACAAACGTTATTGCTTCTTGCCACTATGACCTATATGATAAACTATGCCTTACGTGGTCCACAGCTCATGCAGCTTCCAACTTCAGCCTCTATGACATATGGACATTATCAAAACTTACCACAACAACCTATATGAAAAACTACGATCTACATGGTCCATAACTGATTTAGCTCCTAACTCCGACCTTTGTGTCCTACATACGTTATTGTGGCTCACCACTATAGTCGAAGTGGTCTACAGTTCATGCTGCTTCCAACTCCAACCTATATGGCCTACGGACATTATTGTGGCTCACCATTACAACCTACACAACCAAATACGACCTACATGGTGTAAAACTTATATAGCTCCTAACTCTGGTCAATGTGACCTACAAACATTACTGTGGTTCACCACTATGACTTACGAGGCCGACTACAGTCTATGTGGTCCACAACTCATGCAGTTCCCAACTATGGCCTCTGAGGTCTACAAATACTACTACAAATCACCACTACGACCTACATGACAAACTATAACCTATATGGTTCATAGCTCATTTAGCTCATAACTCTGGCCTTTGTGACATATGGACATTATTGTGACTCACCACTATGACCTACGTGACCAACTACAACATATATGATCCACTGTTCATGTAGCTCCCTACTTTGGCCTGTATGGCCTACTAACATTATTAAGGTTCACCATAATGACCTACATGGTCCAAAACTCAGGCAACTCACAACTCTAGTCTCTGTAGCGTACAAACATTATTGCAGCTCACATCTACGGTCTATGTGACTAATAAACATGTAGCTTTCAATTTCGATCTGTGTGACCTACAAACATTATTACAACTCACCACTATTATCATAACTCACAACTACGACCTATATGACCAAATACAGCTTACGTAGCTCACAGTTCCTGCAACTCCCAACTATGACTCATGTGGCCAACCTACGAACCTGAAGCAATCATATACAACCTATATCATAGCCAAATATTACTAAGGCTTTCAGCTACGCCCTTTATGACAAACTGACACTACAACCATTATCTACAAAATTCATGATGGGCTACAACCTTAATAGCAATCGACTATGACTATCGCAACACGTTAAATCTATTATTGTTGAACTATCATTATACATTAATATTATAATTCAGTCTTCTCTAATTCAAGAGGAGAGTGACTTTATATACTTATAAATATATAGGAAATTATTTCAACTGGGTTAGGTCATATGATTTTTTCTCTTTTCAGAAATTTCTACATAAAAAATTGAGGTGTCTTCCTTCGCTTCTCTTTTATCTGTATTGGATCATCATCCAAGCTAAGATGCTAGCAAAATTATTATTCTACCACTACAATATTAAGGCACACAACAAATTTAAATCTACTATTTTTATAGAAATGATCAATTTAACAACTACCATTTTTCATGATTTCTAAATTAAAGCAACCAAATATCCCTAGTTCTTTAGTAAATCCCCTCTTGGAGAACCTAAAAATGTCATTACCCAATTCTCATAGAGTGATATTTACAACTCAAAATTGTACGGCCAGTCAACATATACAAACCAAATAAAATAATATATTACAAAAAAAAAAATATTAAATTTTTTTAAAAAAAAAAAAAAAAAAAAAAAAAAAAAGAAATGAAAACTCTGCCCATTCTGCTATATCTTGCAAGGAATATTATCACCTAAATTTTTGTCCAGCATAATATCCTCAACCCTTTGCAGACTCAGAAACCCAAACCTAAATTTTTGTAACTAAATGGGCTTACATATTTGATGAAGTATTTTCATGGTATAAAATGAGCTTTACATATTTGGCACTTAGATTCCATCTTCCAAAGTATATAGAGGAACCTGCCAATTCTTTGTGTTCTTTTTGGGATCATCTGTAAGGCTGAGATCGCCTTCAAACTCTTTAAATGTCTTGATGAAGGTTTTAGCACCACCCAGGACCAATCTCTCTACCATGAAGAGCTGGTAATTGTTTTCTATTACTGGATCCAAAATGCTACTGAAATTTGATGAGCCCATTACCTTGTACCTGCACTTTTTTTTTTTTTGGAAATACAAATCACACAAAATAAACATTTGATCAGTTAGTTATGTCAGATTTTAGATAGTGTATTTATAATGTTCAAGCAACAGTCGAGAAAAAAATTGATAACATTTTTATGATGATTTAAAGCACAACCAGCACTAGCTTTTTCCAAAATATCTTGAATTTATATTGAATGTGTTACCTTTTTTCTTAACTAAACATTTTGAGACATCCATACATTTATCCATATTATCTTGATTCAAGTACTTTAATGTAAAATTTTTCAGCAGCAATTTTATCTAGGGACATTTACAAACATATCACCCAATTCCAATGTATTTACATGTGTAAGACCTAAACTTTGTTTTTTATATTTGTACACTTTGCTTTTTATATTTGTACCACCCAAATCTTACATATAACATCAAAAATACCATCATCTATCTACATAAAGTTAGAACCCACCCAAATCTTACATATAACATCAAAAATACCATAATCTATGTATGTAAAATTTGAAGTCTAGGCGTTATACAAGTAAATACATAAGAATTGAGTGCTATGGATGTAAACCTTCCTTTCATCTATCTGCATTTCTTATCCTATATTTTAGATATCCAATCCATACAAATTTATTTTTATCAAAGCAAGGGGGGGTACAAATTTATTTTTATCAAAGCAAGGGGGCTGTTTGGTAGCATACTTTTAATAGGATGTAGCCATGAATATAATTTACTTCCAATCAAACACCAAAAAAATAAAAATTAAAACCAATGCTCTGTTAAATGAAAATTTTTCACGTTCTGTCTCTTTCGCAACGTAAATACAGATTTAATAAACTCGATTGAGAGCCGTCGCTTGCGAGGTTCGTCTCCATCGACATAGCAATCGGATTTACTAGATTTTATAAATCCTATTTAACGAAAATCCATATTGCAGCCAAAAATGGCCCAACTGTTGTTTTTGTTTCCCTATTTCTGATTCAGTGCAATTCAAGCCTGTTTCGCAAAGGCGAGATTTTCTTTCTTAAAAGGCCATTTATTTGTAGCGCAAAGAGAAACTCTGCATTTGAGGATATCATCAATTCATCCTATGTACCTATATTGAACCTTGTTAACATGCCCAAACGAGAAATTTACTCCTACTGTGAGGTGATTTTGCTGAATATGACAAAAAAAGCTTTCAATTATTGATCAACAAAAATAATTCAAGGTAGCCGATTGATTCATAAAAATAATCAGTGATCAGTAAGATTAGAATTCATATAAATCAATACATATCTTGGTGTTTCTCTCTTGTCCCTTCTACCAAAACAAGGATCCTTCCAACCCCTCTAATTTACACCTTATTATATTTCATAAAATTTTAACATTAATATATAACATTTATAATTAAATTGATTATTAATGATTCCCAAATAAACCCGTCTTATTTCCTTCTCTTGCACAACCCAGATTCGAAATTTCTAATCCTTCGAATTAATATTTTTGAAATCCCTGATTTCATTCATAACATTGCTATTAACACAAAAGTATTCAATAAATATAATTATCTTTAGTAGAAATTATCAAGACTTACCTGTGATACCTCATCAACAAATTTTCATCATCCGGCACGAATCTCGACACGAATCTTGAGACAATATCTTGAGTAAGAAACATTCAAACTTCAATTAAGAGTAATTCAGAGCTCCGATTTCAACAAACTTATAGTCAAACTGAACGCCTCGATTCAGACGGACCCAACAATATAAAAACTAGTCCAATCCGAGTCAGATCAAGCCCGGATCAAATCATTAAACCACTTATGGAGGATTTCCGGACACATTTGGAAGGTCAAATGGATGTCGAATCTTGCGATTACATAGTTAAATCGAGCATCTCGATAAGAAGAATCCAACGAGCCCAAGGTTGCTCAATTTCGACATCGTAAAGGCACTCAAATGTCCATCAAATGACATCCGATCAAGGGAAGCTCTCTGGACCGTCCGATCAAAATGGTTCATATTCCTGCATTAATGACACCCAGAACACTATAAATAGAGCCCCACCCCTCGCATGAGGAGGGAGGCTTGAAAGAGAACTTACCAACGCCGACCTCCGTCAACCACCGCCAATCTTCGTCGACCACCGCCGACCTTCGTCGACCACCGCCGACCACCGTCTACCACCGCCGATCACCGTCTACCACCGCCGATCACCGTGAATCATATACCACTGTCGATAATCGTCGCCCACCGTTGACCGGACACCGTCAGGCGACGCTGTAATCTAAAAATCTAGTAACCATTTCCCTTCTATGAGACAAGGGGTCGCTGTAATCATCAACATATAGTGGATTCTTATAATTGGACCAGCCCCCGTGGTTTTTTTCCTTTACGGGTTTTTCACATAAAAACTTCTAGTGTCATCACTGGTTGTTTCACTTTTCATCTGAGTGTGTGTTGTATCACGTGCAACGCTAAAACGATAATTCAAAGACGATAATCCATTCCTCTCCCGCCGTGAATTTTCTAGCACGCATCAACCTGTTAATGGGGTCAACTCACCCCTGCTTCCTGATTTCAATTAGCATAAAAAATTATTTTAACACTTAATTATACATTCAATTATATATATATTAATAAAAAATTGTAATAAGTGTAAAATAATAATAATAATAATAATAATAATAATAATAATAATAATAATAATATATTTTGAAGGGCATGACAGTTCTAGCGTAACCGTTGAGACTGTTCTACAATTAAGAGATTAAAGTTTTATTAAATCATAATCAAACCAAACAAATCAGACAGACGAGAGTGAGGAGAAATCAAGATGCAGAAACGACGGCTTGTGTGAAGGAAGAAGACAGAAGAAACTTGTCTTTGTTTTGGGCAAGGGAGACGTCAGGTGTGAAGAAGAGATTTTTCACTTGTGTTGAGTTGTGAGTCGACGCGTGCAGGAGAAGGGTTCACTGAGTATGAGGAAGGAGAAGGCAACGGTGTAGTCCCACATGCGGTCGAACTGAGCAACTTCGTGCTCGACTCGAGAACGAGAGTGCCTACTTGCTGAAGGAAGCTCAGAGGGTGTCAAGGTCAAGATTGGAGGAATCGAGGAATCGAGCGGCTTGGCTTGCGGGATAGGGGGATCGAACCGAGCAAAGCCATAGTAAAGTGACTTGTGTGCTAGCCAAAAAAGAAGAGAGAAGGAGAGTAACTTTGCATGCGAGAAGAGCTATATCGAGCCAAACGAAAGAAAGGCAGCTTCGTGCAGAAGGCTAAACCTATATAATTTTTTTAAAGAAAAAGCCCAAGGGCTAATATATTAAAGAGACCCCTCAGTCTTTATATATATATATCGTTCAAATCCAAAATATGAAAATACTTCCAATTCCTAAATTTAATTAAATTTTTTTAACACTTAATTATTCATATATATATATATATAAATAATTAAGTGTTAAAAAAATTTAATTAAATTTAGGAATTGGAAGTATTTTCATATTTTGGATTTGAACGAGAGTTGGCCCTATTAATCAGTTGAGTCTTTAACATTTCTACTTAAAATAATTATATTTATTGAAAACTTATTTGTTAATAGTAATGTTATGAATAAAATCAGGAATTAAATAAATTTAGATTCAAAGGATTATAAATTTTGATCATGGATTATGCATAAAATGAGGGGATAAAAAGTAAGATTAGTGTATATTTGGTACTCATTTATAGTCAATTTAATTATAAATTATTACATACTAATTTTAGAATAATGTGAAATATAGAATTCTTCTTTTTGTAGAAGAGACAAGAGTGAAAGATACCAGAGTTAACCAAACAACAACTGAAATTGCAACTTTATTACAAAAAACACACACCGAAATAGAAAATAACAAAAGACACAAAACAAACACCAAGCTCAGGCATGGGTCGAAGGTGGTAATGTTGCAGGTTGAGGGAGAATAGTAAAGTATGGATGGTTGTATGATCGAGAAGCGCAAAGGGGAAAGAGCAGAAGCACCTGCGAGGGCAGTGTATGGCTATTATGTGGCTGGAAAGTGGATGGCAGCAAGTTTGTGGAGTGGGGTTGCATCAAAATGTTTGTTTTAAGGTGGTAGCAAGTGCAACGGGGTTGGAAAGAAGCGGTAGGAAGAGGGATATGGCTGGATGGGCTAGACAACATCTAAAAAACAGCTGAGATGAGGTCGGTTGAAAAATTCCGCGAAGGGAGGCAGCAAATCATGCGGCTAGCACACCAGCTTAGGACGAGTTAGAGAAGGATTAACTTCGCACCTACAGATACTATAAGGTAAAACTTGGACACCAACAACTGTCTCGAGAAAAAAACTAAATAAAAAACTGATCTAAAACACAGAAAGCAACATATAAATACTACTAGCATAGCTAAAGGTGAGGCCCTCTCAGTTAGGTGGTAATTCCCAATCAAAGAAGGATCGTGCGGCCCCCTCCTCCTTTAGGATGAAACGGTTCATACAAAGTTGAGCTAGTTCGACAAGTTAATGTTAGTGTATCCTGCGTCCTGTGGAGGAGAGACACTCAAATCAATCTCTCGGGATTGTGGGAGCTTCTACTTGTCTCCTCATAGTATAGAATCAGATCAGACATGTTGAAGGTAACATAAATATTATAACCTTCTGAGGTTGAAGGGTCCTTCAATTGCGTTGGTATAAGCACCCGTATCCCATTGTCGGGTGCACTAGCTCCCAAAACACCTCAAAAGTTTTTCCCAATTGCAAGCAAAGAACCATATTGCTCCAATCATGTGGGGTACATTGCTGAGCCGAACAGAGATTTCATGTCGCGGGTATTATGTCAAATGATCCAAAAGTAACCAAAGGTTGGTTCAACCCAATCTAAAGTGAGGGCAGCCTAAATCTTCCCGAACTGTGAAGACTGTAGTGATAAGCTATCAAACATGATGCCTTGAAATGCCCTCTATTTGACTACCCCATGTTTGAAACAGACTCTTCTATCTCGTTGACCTCTGTCATCACTAAAATTG